CATGACCGCAGTATTATACAGTCATATGATGTATTCGGTATGAAATAGCCGAAAGATGACGTTCGGAGACTTTTGGCAGGAGTCTGTACTTACTTTAAAATATATTATTTCAACTAATACATCTAGATATTTATCAAAGTTATTATATCAACATAGATCTCGAGTGAACTTCCTCTTATATATCAATATACATATGCTGAAAAGTCTAAATTTATTCTAATCAATACTAGAGGATAGAACTGATTAATTTTTAACCAGTCAGTTAATTTACCGGTTAAAATGGTTAACATGTTAATTGGTTAAAAATTTTTTTTAATCAGTTAAAATAGATGAATTTAAATTTGGCAGAAATTCAATTTTTGACTAGAATTAAGATTTTTATAATTAACAAAATATTGTCTAACTCTGGCCAAATTTATAATACTGGCCATGTTAATTTTAACCAATGAATTAACCAGTTAAAGAACTTTCAGCCAGTTTCAACCTCTAATCAATATTACACTATTTTAAAAAAATAATACATCCATTAAAAATTTAGGAGATTTCAATGAGAAATTTCATATTCATCTTCCTCATCTTTTCTTCTACAAAATTGACTTTACTGGTAAGATGTATGAAAATATCTTTTAAGATTCTTGGCAAGCTCAGCCCAGATTCCTTTCTTAAGTTTTGCATGTGCACATTCTCACACTTTACTTATGCTTTTAATGCAATCCAATCAGTTGATATAGACTTAATTGTACTTATGTATACATTTCCTTTCTTTCTAATTGCTTTTTGTTGTATTAGTCCAATATTTAGCAAAACTCTATACCAGTTCTTTCTTTTAGAATAGGCTAATTCAGCCTTTTTACCTTTAATTTTTTAAAAAAAAGTTAAATAATCAATTATATTATCAAAAAATTATATTTTACTTATCTAATAATATAAGTGGCTGGTGTATCAGAAAAAGCAATATCAGTTATCTAAACATTGACATAATTTCAGACTTCTGACATATCAAGAGTAAGTGGATTAGATTGCATTTTATAAAAATGTAACCTGTATAATACTTATATATTATTCTATTGCAAGAGTTAAGTAATAAATTAAATCAATAAAACTTTCTTGTTACTTATCAATCAGCCACTGTTGTCTTTATATGATTGTAAACAAAATCCACTTGTAGATTGAAGCTGACTTTAAGTTGAGGATGTGGAGTATTCAATGCTTTTCTTAATTCTATAGTAGAGGTCTAAATAGATATCTATTAGCTAACAAATTATAGCAAAATGAACAAGTATACAAATCAAAGATATATTTACCTTAGAAAAGGTGTTTTTATATTCGAGAATTTCATCATTGATCTCTAGTAGATCTTGCCCACTCTTCTTTTCAGTTATCTCTTTCATCTCTTTTTGTAAATACATTTTTAATGAAGGTATCCTTAGGATTAAGAATAAATTAGTGAATTAGACTAAAAGCCAAAAATTTAATTAACTTAAGAAACAATAAAAGAAACAAACACATCACATAACTCTTACTTATAATTTCAGCACATCATTTCCAAGTTGATAAAGTATCTCTTTAATAAACCTTTCAGACTTAAGTCTCTATTTCTTTAAGTTTTGTAAAGTATCAAATTTATGTTTAAATAATGATTAGTTTAATTGAACGGGAATATAAAACTATATATACTACCTGAAAATAAGTTTATGCAGTCAGTTTTTTGAATTTTATTTGAAATTGTATATAATAAAATCAATTGATTTTGGTACCAATTGAAAGCCCTGATTCTTGTTTATATAACTGTTTGTTATTGTAATATATACAAAATAAAAATAATTATAAACATAAATAAATATAATGTAATAATAATCAATCTAACAACTTATTTCTAACAAAATGAGTAAAAATCCTGAACTTACCATTATTGAATGAGTACAAATAATCGGACTATATAAAAGTGGCTACAGAAAGTCTGATATTGTTAGAATTATGAATCGACTAGAGTCTACAGTTAGAATAATAATTCAATGATATGGAGATTTGAATGATATGTTAAGCAAAATAGAAGTGGTCAACCTCCATTACTTGATGATAAAGATCGCAAAATTATAAAAAAAATTGTTAAAAAAAATAATAAAGCTTTAGCTGAGATAATATAAAAGAAATTTTCAGCAATAACTAGTCAAGATATTTATACTAAAACAATTTGGAAGAATTTGTATCAAATTGGATACAATTCTTATTGAGCTACAAAAAAACTATTTTTAAATGAAAATTAACGCTAAAAATGGCTAGAATGGTATTTAGAAAGACAAAATTGGACAGTACAACAATGGAGAAATGTCATATGAAGCGACGAATCAAAGTTTACACTTTTTCGTAATGATGGTCCTTCTCGAGTTTGGCGTGAACCAGGCACTCATTTTAATATTGAAAACCTGAATCCATCCATTAAACATGGTGATGGCAGTCATGGTTTAGGGATGTTTTTCAGACAAAGGATTGGGTCCTTTAGTAAAAATAGAAGGAATAATCAATTGGCATGATTATATAAAAATCTTAGATGATAACCTGTTATCATTTATTGATTCAAAATTTCGTAACCGATCTTACAAATTTTAGCATAATAATGTACCCATTCACACAGCTAATGATGTTAAAGCATTGGTTGCTAAAAAAAAATAAAATGTTAATTAACTGGCCTGCTCAATCTCCGGATTTGAATCCCATTGAGCATCTTTAGGATCATTTTGAATGTTTATTGCGTAACTGTTCAGATCTGCCTAAAAAACTTGCAGATTTAGAAGTGCAACTAAAAGAAAAATGGAAAAAAATTCCGCAAGAAACTTACCTAAAATTAATTGATAGTATGCTTCAAAGAATAGAAGCATGTATTGCTAATAATGGTTGGCCAACTAGATATTAATATTTTGTTAAAAAAGATAAACTATTTTTTCAAAACTGCACAAATTTATTTACTATTTTTCAAAACCGCGCAAACTTATTTCCAGGTAGTGTATATATTATATTTATTACCTTTACATGAAAGATTTTATCTCTAGTTCCGAACTCATCATCATCATCTTAATCATCATTTAACTTAAAGCAATAATACAATATATATATCAGAAGTGAGCCTATATAAATTAAACTAAAGCAAATAAAAAAAACATTACTGGCAGAGTTACCTCACTTGATTTATTGGATTCTAAAGAAGCATCCTATAATTTGAAATGTATTATGCATCAGTTCAAATAAACTTTATGATATAATTTAACAAATTTGACTTATCAAAGAAAATAATTCAAAAGCTTGAACACTATCTTCTTCATAATATTCAGATCGGTTATGTTCTGGTGGAAAGATTTGGTGTTTAGGTGTTTTTGAATAATCCTGCTCGTGTTAAATTGCTTGGAGATGAAAGTTATTTATTTATATTAAGAATTCTGACCAGTCGAAAGTGTAATGAACATACACTAAGTGGAAATAAGTTTGTGCGATCAGATTTCGTAATTTATATGAAATTGTACATAATAAAATCAATTGATTTTAGTACCAATTGAAAGTTCTGCTACTTGTTTACATGTCCTTTTGTCTTTATTACACGTATAAAATAAAAATAATTTAAAATTGGGACGTATACATGTTTGTATCATGATCTTTAATGTAAATTTGCAATCAACCAAAAAGCTGATCACAAAATTAGCTTATTAATAATATAATGGCATAAATACTGAATTTAGCATTATTGAATGAGCACAAATAATCAGATTACATAAGGTCAGATATAGAAATGCTGATATTTGCAAAATTATGAATTGATCGGATTCTACAGTTAGGACAATAATTAAACGATATGGAAATTCAGATGACTTGATAAGCAAGCAAAGAAGTGGTCGGCCTCTATTACTTGATAATGATGATTGTAAAATTTTAAAAAAAAATTGTTGATAATAACAATAAAGTTTCAGCTGATATTATACAAAAAAAAATTTATAGCAAAAACTGGCCAAAATTTTTGTACTAAAACAATTCAAAAGAATTTGCATCAAATTGGATACAATTCATAACGAGCTGCAAAAGAGCCACTTTTGAATGAAAATCAACGTCAAAAATGACTAGAATGGTGCTTGGAAAGACAAAATTGGACAGTGCAACAATGGAGAAATGTCATATGGAGTGATGAATCAAAGTTTACTCTTTTTCGTAATTATGGTCCTTGTCGGGTTTGGCGTAAACCAGGCACCCGTTTTGATATCGAAAACCTAAATCCATCAGTTAAACATGGTAGTAGTGGAGTCATGGTTTGGGGATGTTTTTCAGGCAAAGGATTGGGTCCTTTGGCAAGGGTAGAAGGAACAATTAATGGTCATGATTATATAAAAATTTTAAATGATAACCTTTTGCCATTTGTGAATTCAAAGTTTCGCAATCGATCTTACAAATTTCAGCATGATAATGCACCCATTCACACAGCTAAATATGTTAAAGCATGGGTTGCTGAAAAAAAATTAAAATGTTAACTGATTGGCCTGCTCAATCTCCGGATTTGAATCCTATTGAGCATATTTGGGATCATCTTGACCGTTCGTTGCGTAACCGTTCAGATCTTCCTAAAAATCTTGCAGATTTAGAAATACAACTTTAAAGAAGAATGGGAAAAAAATTCACAAGAAACTTAACTAAAATTAATTGATAGTATGCCTCAAAGAGTAGAAGCACGTATCGCTAATAATGGTTGGCCAACTAGATACTAATATTTTTTTAAAAAAAATGATAAACGATTTTTTTAAAAATCGCGCAAACTTATTTCCACCTAGTGTACATTTATATCATCGACACTAAAATCTTCAGGAGTTTGAACACCATCTTCATAATATTCAGATCGGTTATGTTCTGGTGGAAATATTTGGTGTCCAGGTGTTTGTGGATAATCCTGTTCATGATAAATTATTTGGAGTTGAAAGTTATTTATATTAAGGGACGTGACCTTCGAAAGTGTAATGACATACATTTACAAACTGATTTTTTCTCTATCAATCGTAAGCTATCACCATCAAGCGTATTTTTGATGGAAATCTATTATGATAACACATTAAACATCGTATAAGTTGTAGAACATATTTCCCAGAACAGGATCATTTTCCAGGAACAAACCTGACTGCGCTGGTTAATTATTTATGTAAATAATGTCTGCAGGTGTAGTTTCTTTTTGAACTCGAGCTTGACCTTTAGAAAAACATGGGTAATTGATTTGATTAGTTTATGAATATGTATGAAGAGCAGAAGGAAAATGGGACGCGCATGGTGGGACTAGGATTTCACCCATACTCTATCCGGGATTTACTCGTCAAATTCCGCCCTTCCATTTTAAAAAAAAATAATATTCACCTTTTCAATCACGTCTTTCCCAAATCATTCATCTCTCGCAAAAATCGTTTACTCCAAGAGCTTTGCATTCCTTCCCAAGTTTTCGCGTACGGAGGAAATATTTTTTTTTTCTTTGTTTTTGTTAAGGAACTGCAAGTAGGATATATTAGTCACATAGGTACGAAGAACTGTAAGGTAGAATTTGTTAATACCTTCACGTAACTGAAGGCTCATAAAGGAAAACAAAAAAATTACCAGAATGTCCGAGAAATTTATCATCAGTCACATCGAGTTTAATGACAGGTGCTGTGGACATAATGTTTGTTCTGATAGTGAATAAAAGAAAATTTTTTAAAAAATTGTTTTAACGAGAATTTAATGAATAGAGTTCGAAAACGGAAAGAAAACAAATCGTTCAAATAAAATGCACTCGACCAACACGTGAGTTTGGAGATATATGGAAATGATCGACAAAAATCGGCACATGCGCCACATACTTTTCGAAATTATACCTTAGGAAGCCAAATGAGGTTTTTGTTGCTTAACAGCATTTTTTTTTACAAAAATGCGTCACATTAAACCATTAATCGGTTTAACCTTTTTAGTGTCATCAAAATTATAAAGTTTAAAAAGACGTTCATGAGGTGGATACGGGGGCGGCAATGAAATAGTCTGACGCTCTTGCGCGATAAAAATAAAAAAACAAGAACGTTCATAAAATACTAGGCATGGAGCCATAAATAGTTTCTTTTAACGTTTCAATAAGATATTTCATATTTGATAACTATTCTTATCTTATCTAACGGTTTAATAAAGTAAGGCTTCATAGAAATACTGTAATTGCAATACAAACAGTCAGTCAAAAAATAAAAATAATTAATTATTATAAATTTATTTTAGTTATTCATAATTAAGTTATTCAATAAATGAATAATTTCATGATTCGTTTATTGAATATATAGATTCATCATAATATTCCGTTGGATTTGATATTTTTATTGCTCACGCCTAAATAACATTTTCGAAAAAAAAATTATTAATTGGTATTGTAGTATAAAAAATATTAGGAATTTATCATAAAAATGATACTAATAATTAATGAAAGAGAGACCTAAACGATTGACGTGATAGGGTTCGGAATTTTAAGTATACGTAAAGTAAAGTGGTACTTTTTTTGAAATAAAATTGACTTACAGATGCGTATATAAATGTGCTTACAATAAAAAAGGCACCATTTTTTATTTCTCAATCAATAATGAAAGTTGATGTTTGATTTCAAGAATTTTTTTTTAAGTAATTTAGATTAACCTGGATATTTGCAACTAATATATTATTATTTGCTGATTGAAAGTTAAATTAATAATTCTAACTTCTTTTATAGGCGTAAAAACCTATTAGAATCTCTTTACACGGTTTTTTAGTTGATATAAGCATATTTTTATTCTGAGATTTATAATACGAAGGAAATAATAATCTTATGATAATGATGTTATTATTATATTTCAAGAAAAGTTATTTCCAGTGATGTTATATCACAAGATCATTTACTATTTTTTATTGACCTTGTCATGACCAAATTTTTCAGAAATTTCAAGTCGAAATAAATAAAGTCATTTCAAGGCCATAGCATGCTCATCATTATTGTTCCATTATCTAAAAATCTTAAAAGTTTTTTGGATTCCCTGTCCAAATTTGAAGTTCAATCAAAGAAATATTTGTCATGGGTTTATATCTTTTTATAATTTAATGAAACAAATTTGACATCCTTAACGTGTTGAACTGTTTGCATAAATGAAAGGAGAAATGATTATTCTAGAAGATTCGTAGTTTCTAAAATATAAGATAACAAAAGCACATTCACAAATATCGAGATGGGTAACGCGTCAATAATGAAATATATGCTATATTTATTTAAATTTTCAACCAGAATATAACGATCATTTCGCGCTTATTGGATCGCTAGTAATTGGATAAAATCACTAAATATAAATACACACTTCATACAAGATTTATAGTAAATAAAATTAAATTAGTTTTATCGATTACATTCAAACTTAAAGAAGTAATTTACTAGTTATATTAAAAATTCAGGTAAGATATTATGTTTAAATAAAGTTGTTTGACTTTATTTTGTGTATATACAGATTTTTAAAAAAAAAATTTCGCTCTGCATTTTAAACTTATGCAAATTAAACTTTCCTCAAACAATATACCGAGAATTGAGTCTGAACAATATTATAATTTAAAATTATTTTTGTTATTACTACCTGTAAAGAATCTTTTAATAGATGAAAAGCACACTCTATTCTTAAGAAAGTAGCAATCAGATTGTGACATGCAAGATTGGTCACTGTACATAAATTTATATTGATAATTTATTAACCGATATAAGTATGTCTATTATGCGGTCTTTTGTTCCATTATCTCGAAGGAAGTTTAATTTTGAAAGAAAATCAAAACTTTAACCAATTATTAAGTATGAAAGGTTTCGGTAAAGTTTTTATAACAATTTTCAGAAATTATATGAACGAATTAATTCACAGAATTTTATACTAATATTTGTTATATTCACGTATTTATTGAAAAAGTTTTAAATTATGAATTTTAACAAATTACCATATCACAACAATACGTATTTTGTCTCACCTCAAAATCTAGAAATTCAAAATTCGAATTTTAGAAATAAAACGTATTTACAAAACCCAGTTTCGAATCTGAAAAAAATCGAACCGATTTTAAATTTGAATGCTACCTGGCTAATTATATGATTAATTATCTGTTACGCTTAATTTTTCGCATGAATTATTAAATTTTAATCCGAAAAAATAAATAAAATTTTAGTTACTATCATTTGGAATTATCGATAGATAATTGACGATATAGAATAATTCGTAAACAAGTAAACTTTGAACATGCTGGGAGCTTTTAAAGACTTGTAATTTTTATTTGGTTTTTTTAAAAATTTCAGGTTCACTGGTCGAACGATTTTAATTCTTTTCCGGATCCTGTAATTATAGAATGTTTTTTTTAGAAATATCACATCATTAAAATTAATCAATAATCAATGTAAGTCAATCAAATCAAACCATATATGCAGAAGTAAAAGCATTGTAAAAAGTAAAATTTTGTTAATATAATTATATAAGTTATATTGTATCTCTATAATCTTTATTTAAATAATTTTTTTTGAATTTTAGTAGATTACAATTGAATGTAATACTGTAGCATAAATTTTGAAAGCTAAAATAAAAGATTGAGAAATAAGTGTATTAAAAATTAAAATTTAACATATTTAATTTAAAATTTTTCAAAAATATTAATAAAAAGCATATTAATATTAATTTAAAATGCTAAATTTTCATAATTAAAAATGATAAAATATCTAAGTTTACATTTAAAATTTAAATATATTTTTATTATGTATATAACTAAAATACGAAGAAAATTAAATAAAATTAAAAAAAAAATATAAAATACTAATAACGTCGTTCAGAAAATTTGAATTTTAAATGTTCAGGTATGATATCTATTAAGGAATCAGGTAAATTCGGTAAGCTGGTTAATTGAGTTTCATGACAAAGGAGTTTTGTAAGGAATCGGGTAAATTTGGTAAGATATTCATTTGAGCTTTATTAGATTCTAGCACCGTTAAGGAGTTTGGTAAAGTTGATAAACTAATTATTTGAGTTTTAGAGCATGAAATTTTCATTAATGAGTTGGGTAATGTTGGTAAGCTGGTTATTTGAATCAAATTTCAACCCGGATATCCAATCATAACGGATATCGGATTAACAGTCTGAACACTACTATTGAGCCTTTATATCATGAAAAAATTTGTTTAAAATAACAAAAATATACTTCAATAATTTTAAAATTTGTTTATTCTGCCATTTATAAAATGTTGAATGTAAGTTAATTATTAATAGCAGTATTTTTTTTGTTTTAATAAACGGATACTCATTTTATTGAATAAATTTTATTATTTTTATATTTATTTTTATTTTGTTTCTACGGAGAGGAGAAATTATATTTTAAAATAACAATCATGTCGACACCGATGCGTTTCGAAATACCAAAATCTAAAACTCTCAGCGCTCTTCAAATTTATTTTTGAAATATAAGCAATTTCGAAAATAGAAATTACCATCCGACTTATTGTATTGCCGGCCAGAATTAAAGTTAGACTAATTAAATTGGATGACTAACTTTATTTTAAAAGTATGACTACACATAATATAATATATTTTGGTACAATAATAATTGTTTTCCATATAAGCTAATTTATCGCCGCTCTTTTTTTTTTTTAAAAAAAAAAAAAAAAATAATGTTTTATCATTATTTTCACAATTCTGATTATTAACTTTGCGCTTTTATGTCTTCAGTCATGTTTTTCTTTTTAATTAAACCAGTTTAAACAATTTGGCTTTCAAGTCTTGGAATGTTAAAATGTCCCATGTTACAGGCCGATCTTACTTTGAAATATACAGTGGCGCTCAAAAGTATCAATCATCCAAATATATTCAAATAGTAATTTGATAAAATTTTATAAAATATTTATTATCTTTATATAGTAAGTAAATTGTACGATTTTAATATAAAAATAATCGTTATGAATATAGAATGGATATAATCAATGCAATTTTTTCAAATATTTGAAAGTTTTTAAAAAAATTCAAAAGAATATCGAAATCATTTCGGAAATCGAAATCAATTTCATTTCGATTGTTTTGTTTTTATATTTTTTTTTTTAATTTACTTTTCGCTTAGGTAAGTATTCTTTTATCTTCTTTAATTTAATTGTAAATTTTTTTTTTTGATTTTCGGTTATTAATTTTTGATTTATTTTCAATATTTGATGATTTTCGAATATATGAATTTATTTATTTGCAAACAAATATATGGGTGGTTATTAAAATCGAGTTACGAACATAGTAAATCGTATGATCCGTAACTCGATTTAATAGAAACCCTAATTTGAAGTGATCAATAAAAAAAGTTAGATACTTTCCATATATATTTTATGATGCCGATCTCCGCAGAACGTGACAGCTCATTTAAATTTTTCGAAAATGCCCAAACGACTGTCCATTCGTTTTGGTTTCAATTATATTTTTTAATTATGTACAGATAAATTTATAAGAAAAAAAATTGAATTATAATAAATTCTCACAACTGACCTCTTGTCAAGTTATTTAAAAAGATTTCTGTAATTTTTTTTTCATTTAGTTTATTTTATTAATCTATGAGTAAAAAAAAGCCGGGAATTTCTCATACTTATGTAAGTATTTTTAATAGTATTGTTACATAATCTATAAA